ATATATATATATATATATATATATATATCTATCAATTATTGTCAAACCTCTCTTCCTTCCTTTTCCTTGCTCCCTTGGTAATAAAATAGCAATAAACTTTGAACCTACAAAATTCAAGCATGCTGAGCATTCAGTGCTTTGCGCTCACTCGACAGATTGCTTATCCCCCTAAGGGAATCAGGGCTATAGATGGAAAAGCATTTGTGAACCTGTGTGTGAGTGTGTGTGCATTAGATACTTAGGCTTGAATTTGTGGCAAATTTGTTCAAATCATTTTTGATTTTCTCGAAACTGAATATCTCTGGTCAAAATGTCGTTAGACAGCCTCCCCATTCATTTGCGCTGGGCTGTAGGCAGTATGCGAGTGCTAGGGTTGAAAAGTGGGCGTGAACATGTTCACCCATCATCACAGATAGCATTACACTTACAATTGCGATTACTACATTTGGTGTCCATTTGCCTTTGCTCCGATGCCTTTATCGCCACATGTGTAAAAAACTTTGTGCCTGTCACGCCCCTAAAAGGTAGCACGTTTTATTTATAGGCCTATACACAATAATGATTATTCTTGTTGGGAACTTACTTCGGAATCAAATCATCTAATTCTATATAAAATAGTTAAAAAGCTTTAAAGAGTTAGGAAGAATGTGTTATGTCGAATATAAGTTCTCGCATCAAAGTCATTTAGATGGTCCATCACTGCATCGGTTATTTCTAAACATCTTAAATTTCAGAGGCCCCATCACATCGACACCATGCCTTAGTGTTCTAATAATATGTTGTGAAACGAGTCCCTTTCCTGTGATATACTATATTACGATATGACATAAGGTTGCAACTATATAATTCCATTGCTTGTGTATCTTATTAGTTCTGTGAACATCAAGGATCCGCTCATGTCCATGAGCCTGCCTAGGGTGCAGCCATTGGTCCCCACCTATATACATATACCCATTTTTCGGGGTGCGGCGAAATAGAGTTACTGCATCGCTTTCTATGTACAGAACTTATATTCTATGGATGTACATATCTAAGAGAGACAAGAGACTTTGACTATACTATAAATTTATATATAAAGGGGAAAGCAAGTTAGTCAATATGCTTCTGTGTTGCTCCCAATGTCATATACAGTGATCAGGGTGACGAGTTGAGTCGATTTAGCTCTGTCCGTCTGTCTGTCCGTCCGTCAATCTGTCCGTATGTACGACTCGTCGATTTCAGAAGATATAAGAGCTTTAAATTTTTTCAAAATGTCCGTATATATAGCGCGCATATTAAGTTTGTAACTAGAAATCTATAACTAATCTCGATATTTTATTATCGACTAAAATCCTTATCGAAAGCTAGTTATTTTATTAAATCTCCTACACCTTTAAGTCTAGAGCTTCCGAATTTTAGATGTAGACTTATGTATATTTTATATAATTTCGTTTTCTTTTGTAATTTACCCCCACCTTTATATCCACTCCCTCACCCTCACCTTTGTAAAAGACGTATTTGAAGTACTAGAGAATTGTGATTTGGAATGTACATACATTGGAATATTATAATTACCTTCTGAAAGTTTCATTAAGATCTTTTGTCTAGAAATTAAATTATTCAACAAACAAATTCCCATAGTATTGCGCACACTGCAGCGCAGCCCAAGCGCAGAGCGCGTTCTAATACGTGCGTGTGTATGTATGTGTGTCTAAAAGAAGTGCAGAGTGATTAGAATATCAGATTGGAGGGTTCAGGGTATCTCGAGGTCGAGCAGTCTCGACTAGAGCTTTCTTACTTGTTTTCTACTTGTTTTCGTTAGTCTTGTAGTAAGTTAAGGAAAACCATTACAATCATTTTTAGACAGCTTATTAACATAGAGCTTCAGTGACTACATAAGCCTTTTTATTCAAATATGTGCATGCTAGGGGATTACATGTTTACCCAAATTTATATTTGTATATATACTACCCTAATATCCTGTCGACGCGTAAATGCACTTAAGAGCCACGTGGCAAGCCAGAAGAAGAGCTGCGACAATAAATGTAACAGCAGTAATTCAATTAGGAGGGTTCACTGTGGGTATGAAACACTAGATGGAGGCAGAAAGCACGATGGAGGGAGTTAGGAAGAGAGGACAAAGAGTAAGAGACTGAGCGAGAGAGAAAGACAGAGACAGAAAGAAGCAGAGAGAGAGACGTAGAGTTAGGGAGAGTGAGAATTAAAAAAAATTTTTTTTTAATATTTCGATTTATCTATATTTCAGATGAAAACCGCGATGTAAATATGAACTCTGAAGAGGAAGTCAAGCGACAGCGATTAGCCTACGGCGGCGACCAGATATATACAAATGTAAGTGCTATACTATTTGAAAGGAAAGACAACTACAACAACAAAGAAAAATCTTCGTATTGGAGATAGATCAGACTCTGATGGATTGCGGCCATTGTTTATTATTAGATAGGTCCATCGATACATAGAACGTGCCTCAAATTGTAATTGTAATACATCATGCAATATTGTCTTGTTGGTTTGGTTGGTAGATCTGGACTGGCAAATGGTGCATAAAAGACGAGCATAAGTTGCTCTCAGAGCTGGGAAACTTTACAGGCTCGGCGACGGCGACGTCAACGACGACGGCGACTGGAAGTGGATCAGCCTACTACGAGGCACCAAATGGATTTCCGACTAGCACAATACCCTGTGCGGGCGTCGGCAATGACTCGGCCATGATGTACGACAGCATCGCATCGATATCCCAAAGTCAAAGTTCGCTTTATACGCCGCCAATAGGCCCGGCGATTGGTATGTAAACTGCTCTACGCGTTTATTAGCATGCTTATATATTCGTTGCGTTTATATATTTTATTTTATTTTTTAATTTTCTTAATCTATGCGACTGTTGTATGTGCGTGGTTGTGCGTGTGTGTATGTGTGTATGCGTGTGAGTAGGCAGCAGCTCACTGACTCCACTTGTTCCTTTAAGTTTGCAAGACATGAAGTTCAATGCAAATAATCAGGACCAAAACATATCGCCATTTTATACAGGTAAGAGATCTGAATAGTTCTGCTAGTACGAATATAGGTAATGTATGACAGTAATAATACGATGTCCAAGACTCTAACTATGGACTAAACCCTCTAAATTGGGAAGATCTGTAGGGTATCCTTAACCTGAATACACTTCAAGTCATATCGAAGAGACCAACTCGATATTTCTCAGTACTCTCGATATGCAATCGAAATACGTTCGAAATTAGATGATGTCAACATTACTCAATTATCGAGTATCCTGGGTTGCAACGAAATAAATTTTCTACATCTATTTTAAGAATCTAGTTTTTTTTGATTAACCGAGCACAATAACAAGAAAGACTTACACCGCACAGACCATACGTACCAGACGGCTTCACGGATCGAGATTGTAATCATGATCACCATGTGATTGTGATCACCATAAAAGTTCACGGACTGACAGATATGCTGCCTGTGTGTCACTTCTCCCTTGGCTCTCTGTGCTCAATCATATGGACTGACGTGCCTACTTTGAGATCTCCATATTACTCTATGCCCCATTCAAAATGTAAATTAATACCCATTCACGATTTCACAATCAGCAATTGCCATTGAAAGTGGCAGCAGCTATCCCACAATAACGAGCCTGGACAGTGCCAACACGACGATGGTTATACGTGGCAATATTTCTGACCGAGGCAACTGCAATGATTCGCCCACTAACACTAATGGTAATGATAATGCTAATCCCAACGCCGATGTCGATGCCAACTCCAATGCTAATGGTAGTGCTAATTCTAATACTAATGTCAATGCTAATGCTAATACCAACGCCGATGCTAATGAGCTTCAGAATGTAGATAGAGATCCTGTTCATGAAGTGTGTAGCAATGAGAATGCCAATAACAAAAGAGCACGCAATGATATGGCCAAACAGCGCGGGAGCAGTATTATTGACTTGCACATACCCATTAATCATCTAATGCCCGACTCATCAGCTGTCCAGGATCATCATCATCAGCATCATCACCAGCAGCAGCAGCAACAGCTGCAGCTGTCCAGCAATGGAAACGCTAATACCTCATCTCTAATAGTCTTACAAGCCAATGCAAATAGTTCTACGGTTGACGGACGGTCTGATGTTGATTATATTGCTGCCAATAGCACAGCTATTTATGCCACGCCCCCAATGCTTCCCAGTTTTAGCCACTACTCAGCAGGCAAGTCTTTCTCTCTCTCTCTCTCTCTCTCTCTCTCTCTTTCCCTACTGCTTGTCGCACTCGCATTCGCACTCATTGACCTGACTAATCTCTCTTACTCTCTCTCAGCAAAAACTCTTATGTTTGTGGTGGTGGTGTTGGTGGTGTTGGTGGTGTAAACACACAAGATTATGCAAAGTGGCTAACACACAAACGCACGCGTCTTTCGTTAAAAATCAAATTATTACCCTTCAAGCTGCTCGCTGAGCAGAACTGTATCTCATATCATATTGTATCTCATATCTATCTCAAAGACTTCTATTGGTGGTGGGATGATATTAAAATCTGATATACTAATGAGATATGCCTACCTCGATGGATAACTAAATAGTTAGCAAATTGCAAAAGTATGACGCCATACGAAATTCCATAAACGTAAAATAAACTAGATTATATTTTTATTGTTCATATGTGAAGAGTATTGCACATTCATGTTTTCATTTGTATTTGATTCTACATTCTTTAAATTTTATGCTCTTTATGCTATATTTCCCTTCTTTTCTTACAGCCTGCGGATCAGTTGTACCAAGCGCTGATTACGCGTATAGTCCAGCTTATACCCAATATGGAGGGACCTATGGATCGTACAGTTACGGAGCCAGTAGTGGCTTAATAAGTAAGAAACCAAATATTAAGAGAATGTATCTATATATATATATATATATGTATGTATATGTTCTGCTACAGATTCATCGTACTACTATGAAGGCGGTCAGAATCAACCATCTCTCAATCAGGACTTACGCTCGCCGCTAGCTGCTACCAGAGCCAATTCTTTGGTTTCAGCAGCATCGCCAACAGGCAGTGCGTGCACGAAATCAGAGACATCAGATATATTTCTTGTGTAGTAGTACCAAAATATATAAATTTAAATCCATTAATTTTAATCATTGTTCCAAAGAAACTTATCTGTAGTTATACACATATATATATGACACATTATTACTCGTACAATTACTCTTTATATATGTATATATGTATATATATATAATATTTAAAAAAAAAAAAAAATATATA